TATCTCTTTATGATTTACATTAGGTGATTCTAGCACCCGAGCCCCGCTTAGAAAAAATACATAATTATTGAACTGGCTCGGCAAATGACGTGTACAATTCGGTAGGGGAGCACATTAAAGGCAAATGTGTATATGTGTTTGTTATATTAACGTAAGAATACAGACGTAACGTTACAATAACATAAAATATTGCCATACTACCATATGGCAATATTGTATCCCTTTTAGTTGACTCCATAATTCTAAAAATTCACTATTATCCGTACTTACAATAGACCAAACGCATCAGCTAGATAGGCTGTTTTTTTTTGTTTTCTACTGTAAGTTAAAGCTGTATTTGTTTAGAATGTTTATCGAGATCGGTAGTGCGAAGGCAGGACCAGTTGAAGTAGTCTGAAGAAGAAGCAGGCATCGAGTCTCTCCTACATCTGCAATTCTGACCGGAACGTAACCGTTGCGCTTGTCATGAATGAGCCATCTTGAGAGCAGATATTCTTCGCGACATTTGACTTTGGTTTTCACTGTCGATGCAGTGCGTCTCTCAATAGTTCAACGTTTACTTAGAGCCAGTTCTTCGAACATCGACCCATGGTATGGTTTGTTGAAGGTTATACGGCTAAAATAAAGATCGATCGAATACAACGGTCAATCTAGAGGTTACTCCATTATTGATGATCTGTAGGGTCTAAATACACCATGTAGCACAGTTGTGTCATACTTTCGTCGCTTCGTTGAACGCGATGACAGAGTCGTGCTATTTTGCGTTTCATCAAAAATTCACTTACTCGGATTAATACAAACTCATAACGGGATACACTCCATATTCCCGGACATGATAGATTTCCAACCGTTGTTCCCCCGAGCGTTTAACATAGTTAGAAAAAGTAAGCATAATGACCGAGGGAAGTTTCACTTGAATCTGTTTCAGTTCATTGAACATGTATATTCCTAACTTCAGCATTATCGTAAATGTGATTTGTTAGAAAAGATTTCTCAACTAAAGTAGTAATTCGGCTTTTGTACAATGTAATACACAACAGAAAAACCAAGAATTTTTTTCCTATCATCATCATCATCATATACGTAATTAGATCTCTTACGCGTTAGGATGCAAATCTAAGACCTAAGGACACACCGTCAAATTTCATTAGTAGTAAACACGGCTTGTCTCTTACCCCCTAGCTGACCACATTTGCCTTCACGGCGACCTTTCCACTCCCAATAAAAATATAGAAACGCACCATTATACTCTATTCAACGCTTCTTGAACAGTGTTCAACGACTAACATAGATGTTATCTTTTTAAAATGAAGCAGATAAAAACCATATTGCAACAAACAACTTTCTCAGTCCTATAAAGGGTTATGTCCGGACTCAGGGAGTATCATTTATCGAATGAACGATGTTTGTTCTTTGGGCGAATAATGATGTTCCTGAAAATACTCAATAATATCATAGTTAGTTTAAAATTGATGTCCTTTATTTTACACCAGTGCTCTCGGCGTTTAATTTATTATTACTCAGTAATGAAAATAGCTTTTACATTAGACAAAGTCGGCGTTTTCGGCACAGAAAAGTTGATAAGGTGACAGGCTTGTGAATGGTATATCGGAGAGCTCCACACACATCGTATTCATCCGTCAAGCTTCTCGGAAAAAGCTGATGAACACCATAGGCAGCGAATTAAAATACCCAGAAGCTTAGTGGAGCTCTTCAACGAAACATCTTTCTCTGCAATCGTGATGCGAAAATTCAATTCAATTCAATTCAATTCAGCTAACTCTTTGCCTGAAGCTTTTGAATGAACCCAACGTATTCTTTTAGTTAAAAGGCCTCCGACGCTGTACAGAGTATCCGGCAGAATCTTGACAACTCTGCTTCTATGACTAAAACGTGTAACTGTAGTTTCATTTTCGTTTTTTTATCTTGAGACTACTTTTACGTCTGTTTTGTATATCTTATTTCATAGAAGTGGTGGAAGCTATAATATCAAATATGTCAGAGCAGTATTAAGGTAACATGGACGAAAAGTCTTCCCTTCTCACGCAACCTGTTTAGCAGTCTTTCAGGAAACGGTGAACCGATTCTACTAGATGATCACGAAACGGCTGATGATTAAAGGTTCTGAGAGCACCTAAAACATTGCTTTTTAAAGTTCAAAGGCCTCACGCAATATTGACCTCGTTGTTCGACCTTATTTGTCCCCACTTCGTACTAAATGTACCTAACCTTATCTCGTCAGCACAAAGTCTTGTTCGAGCGGCCTGTCTGAGCGGGGTCAGGTAATCCATGCGCAAAATACCTAGTCTGTATCGCCTTTTTGCCTCTGAGGGGAAAGCGTTAGTAAGGATCACGTGAGAGATATAAGCATTATTCGAATTATCTATCTGAGCAAATCTGGCATTTTTCCAGAAATGTCAATGCAAATTGTGCGGCCATTTGGAGACATTAAGTTGGCTTGTTTGCAAAGTACGTTTAACGCATTTTCAGGTAGTATTTATATCAAGAATCAACGGTGACATATCTTCTTGATCAGGGAAGAGGCTCCGAAATATATACTGATCGTTCGTTTTACAACTCACTTCGTAGTACTTCCCAGTTGTAGGTTGCCAAGATGTCCTGAAACGACTGCAAGAGGTTTCGGCAATTAAACTTTTGGAACCTACCTCATCATGAAACATCGACAGAAGTATGAAGTAACTGTTTACGTTTTGTGGCTTGGAATGGCACCAAGCTAGAGCATAGGCCCGCAGATTGCTTCCTTAATAAGCCGGCCTCGTGTTTAGGGGCATTGAAATACGCGGTTAATTCAAAAATGTCGAACTTCTACTTTAATCTGCTACAACCTCTACTCAAGCCCCATGGCAGTTTCTTATCACCTTTATTACGTTGTTTTTAGAAAATCGATAGAATGGTATAAAAATGAGCACTTAATCCTCCAGAAGGCATATGTTGTGGTAAGAAATAAATGGTCACTTGAGCAAGCTAAATGCATAGGCCTTTTTAGGTCCTTTTAAAGTGCACAATCTTGTGTCACTCAGTTTCTTAGTACTTTATGTCGCGTTTCATTTTTCAGTGTTTGCGACAAATAAATGAACGCAGTCTGCGTTGATGCAACCAATCCCGCCCGGTTTTCAGCAGTTATATCTGTGCCAATTATTGATCAACTTAATTCTAACTTGATATTTTTATATAAGTAACTCTAGTTTTGTTTACGACAGTGGCAGTGCTTTGCCAAGGCTTTCTTTCGTGAAACTAACCATCGGTCTTTTTACATTTCTGAACCATACTCTAAACCAACACAGCGTTCAGTTTCTACTTCCCCGGTTGCGCATACTCTTAAATGACATTGCGTTGCCTACCCGATTCTAGATCCGACGCTATGTGCGCATCCACGTCTCGCCGTCAATGGGACTCTCGCGTCCTGCCGCTAGCCTGGCCCATGAATCTGCGTAGGCAGCGCACGGTATCAGTATCTACGGCAACATGCTTCGTCGTGGTTAGTTTCGTCCGGCTTAGTCTATTTCAACGTTCTTTCGCCCGTTGTTTCTTCTTGTATGGTTCGTCCTGAGAAGCGACAAGATGCAGTTAAACTTCTCTAGGTGGTTGCTTCGATGTTTGCGTTGTCTGCGGCATTTCTGCTCTTTCGGCTAGAAGGGGATAAACCCCCTACCCGTCGGCGTCTGGCCGCTGTCTGCCTGAAAAGGAGAGGAATGAGGGTTCGGTGCGGTGAACAAGCGAGCAACAATATGCAAACGCATGGGTCTGGTCATGCTAGATTGGGTTAGGTTAGACTGAGGCAGAGGCTGTTGTTGGTTACTAAGTTTGGCGCTGCTGACTGGGATACCTCACTCGTGGTTGTAGTAAATCGAAAAGTAAGGATCAACGATAGAACAGACTGGAACGAAGCCATCTCTACCGACTATCCGACAACGACCGGGGAACGGAGAGGTGGGGGTACAGAAACGACTGTCAGTATACAGAAAGATAGATGGTACAGAAGTGGACTGCTTGAGCAGCGGCAATAGTCTACTAGACCGGCTGTTATTAGAAGCAAATGGTGTGGGTCGCGGATAAGGCGAATTGTGAGAACGTGTCTACGGCTAACGTGAGGAAAGTTACGGGGATAACCAGGGTTGATGCCCGACGGTGGTTCTTGTAGACAACCCGGATCGTAGGCTCAGGAAACGGAGGAACCAGTCAGGGGAGAACAGCTGTTTTAGCGTACGACGGTCGATAGGCAAGGCGTTGTCAAAATGATGGTGAGGATATTGACAGCAAATGGTAATCAGCCAGTTGTCTGCAAAAGCCAAGGATTGAGAGGTATTCTTACCCAGAAGACTCGACCTTTCATATGGTCCATGGTCGATAATTCCCTTATATTGTTTTCTTTTACCTAGCTTTTATAGACACCTTTGATTACACAAAACCTTTAACTTTAAATCCTACGATAGCGCTTAGCGAAAGGGTGTACTACACAAAAAATTTTGGCATATATTGCACTAACTGTAAGTTGACTTAGACTGGTTTCTAGAATAAAGTGTGCTTGGGACTGGGAGTGTTAAACTCGCGTCTACCTTAATATAGAGCTCTGCTTATATTGCTTAGTTTACATACGCTTCGGAGATTTTATGCATTCATCGGACACAATGGAAACAATATTCTAATACAATTCACTAAAAAATACATGCATTTGTATATGTGGAATTGATCAGAGTTTTTATAGAAAATGTTTATGTCCAATTTACATAACGCAGTCGTCGCCGAACCGACGGATCGCGGGTGGCTGCGGTGACGAACCCTTGAGGCACCTCTCGGCTGTCTAGCCAGACTGCCTGCCAGACAGATAGACGAGACCTCGACCAGACGGATCAGCAGGACCCCTCGCCACTGCTGCTGGTAGGCAGAGATCAGATTGCTACGGCTAGGTTGCTCTTCTGTCCCGCTGTTCACTGTGTGAGTGGTGCCCAGTGAGTAAGGCAGCGAAGCGGACAGTCCAGTCCAGTTTGTCGGGGATTTCAGCCTCGTCTGCTGTGGCGCGGACTCAGCTTCAAGAGCGTCGGGATGCAAGCCAGCACTTCGCAGGCCAGCATCCCCTGGACATTACAATAATGTGAGGCCAACTAGTCAAACCCCACGAAGTACGTGTTTTATCTTACGTGTTATGGAAAAGCACGTGCAAAACAGCGTGAGTGTACCTCTAGTGGTGAAGTGACGACTTGGCCAACAGCAAGAAATAGATTGGCCAAAAAGCAAAACAAAAAAAAATAGAAATATGCTTTTTGTAATCGGAATCCTTTTGGTGGTTGCTGCCTGTTCGGCGTCTCCGGCTGGACATGCGGCAGCCGTCATTGCCACCTCAGTAACGGAGACCTTTTCATCTATCAATTCGGACACGAGTACGTTACCATCTTTGAAGTCCATTAAGACGTACCGTGCCGGACGTGAATCGACTTCCTCTCTAGTACGACCATTTCCTTTTCTGCAAGTGGTACGCTTCTCCAATGATGAATGTACGGCTGAGACTGGATTTGCGGGAACTTGCTACACCGAATCCGAATGTTTGGAGTTGAAAGGTATGCCTCGTGAAGAGTGCGCTGATGGGTACGGTAGATGCTGTCGCATGACATATACGTGCCGAGAAACGATGCATCACAATGTGTCGTACTTCGTGCCGCCCACCTTCCCCAGTGGTGAAGATAAAGCCAACGTGTGTCCCCTGAAAATTGCCTTCGATCCAGATATTTGTCAAATTAGGCTCGACCTTATTAAATTTGACATTCTTGGGCCGCGTGAAGGCGACTGTATCGACGATATGTTTGTAGTGACGGGAGGCAACGCTAACCACAGGCTTCCAGTTATCTGTGGTGAAAATACTGGACAACATATGTATATCAATGTGGACACAATGCAGAGTCCAGTAGAACTGCAAATGATCACCGGAATCGAGAACTACGTTCGGGACTGGCGTATTAAAGTAACCATGATTCCATGTGCTTCACAGCATCGCGCTCCACTAGGTTGTCTGCAGTACCAAACCGGAATCACCGGACACGTTCGCAGCTTCAACTTCAATCAACGGAACGAGACCCGACTAGGTTATCTCAACGGGGCTGACTACGCCATCTGCTTCCGACGGGAACGTGATATGTGCTCCGTCACGTACTCGGTGCGTACAGAGCCAGACGATGTCGAATTGACGCCAGATTCCAACGATACAACACCGTATGGAGCACCTGAAGCAACTTTGAAGGCAGTCCGTGAACCGAGCATGAAGGTGCCAGCGTTCGGCATTGCTACGTCGGACGGCAAAACATTGGACTTTCAGGCGGTGGCAAACGTTGGCGCATCCAAATGCACTGGGGATTACCTCGCCATACCTGGTTTAGACCGCTTCTGCGGGGGCGCCTTCAATCAAGCCTCGGGGAGCCGCGAAAGCCAATCCATTACAGTGAAGAACGCCGGACCGCTGATGATTTTGTTCAAATCGGACAAAGCATTTAATGGACGGGGATTTAACATCAATTTTCAACAGGGACCATGCACACCACTGCTTACTCAAACCTTCTTCTAGCATTCGGCCAGGGCTCCAGAAAGCGTCGAGCAGAAGAGGGTAGCATCTGACGGTGCCACCTCTTCAATGAGAGGGAGCCCAGTTCCATTCTCTCTAGCAAGCTTTTTCGGGCCCTACGTCAAGGCAGAGTTTCGTAACTTAGAAGAAGACTCACTAGTGAACGCAACAGCATTTGCTCAGAGCGATGCCGAGCTAACACCTTTCAAAGAAGATCACGGCTCAGGATTTGAATAACTGACCCGTGAAACGAGTAAAAAAAACTAGAATTTCTTCCGCTATAGTATAACCCCTTTGTTTTGTCTTATTGTCTCTATTAGCCGTATACGTTAGAGGAGGTACGTCGCCGGCTGAATGCATATGCGTTTGTCGTTATAGCGTTTCCACTCAACTAACACTGAGATTGGAGCGCTATGCAATGCAGGGAAACAGTCACAGTGACCACTATGTATTGAAGTGTTTTCTAGGGCATAAATTTAAATTGTTATTGAAAATCTGGAGCTCTACACGCCCAAACTGTACTCGTATCTTCAGCCTGCGAGCCTCGCCTCATCCCCATATGCCACAATATAATGATTAACTAGTACGCAAACATAGTACCATTACGTGTATATGAAACAATTTCCGCCAGTTATCAACCTTATATCGAATCTTGCGTAAACTTAAGGAATCCTGTGAACATCTGTAAATCCTAGATCGTCAGTCTATTGTATATTTGTTCATAATAGTGTACAATGCATTAGGCTGTGTATAAGTGCTCCATTGGTTCGTAAAAATGACAATCGATAATAACAAACTGATGACGGTGACAATTAGAATGGATTCATTTGTACTTTTTGCTCATTGATCACCATTGTTTTTAGGTGGCGTAAAGTTCTTGCGTCAGGTTTCATGAAATACACCTTTTGTACTTACTGTTAACCGTTGAATCAACACTGCCATTATTATTATTACCGATTATCCATTTTTAATAGTTGCACCATTATGCTATTATGAGTCTATGTATATGATGATAACGTCATAACTATGGATCGACTATGACACAACAAATGTGCCGCGCCATTAGGTAGACCCAGTGATGATCTCAGCTTGCCTGATCTCAAACGCAGATGAAGATACCCCGAGTGAGTGCAGTACCTTGTCTTCAGGAGTCCGACCACAATGGCGACCGGACAAGAACTACTAGCGCGAAAACTTATCCGCCTCTTCTTGCATGTGAAGAAGACGATACAGTTATAATCATATTATTTCATGTTTAGCTGCTAGCTTTTGCACAGTTTGGAACCGACTCATGTTCTGCACGATAATGACATGTCTAATGACGATACTTCTCGTGAGAGAGTGACGAATAATCGGCTCATGAGCAAATCGTAAAGTCGATAGCCCGCATACTTGGAATTTGGTAAAAAAAAAAAAGTTGAAATTGTCCATGGATTTATCACGTTTTGAACGTAAAAATTATATTGGACAGGGAAAAACAAAAATTATTAAAGCAATATAAACTCTCATGATATAGTCACGGCTATCAGTTTGCTAACGTATTTACGAGTAAGGAAGACGCAATGATAATTGGCATAACAGTCGTAGATAAAAATTTACCTAATATTACAACCTGAATTTCAATCAATAAAACATTGGCAATCATTCGCTGTGTTCTTGTACTTTCAGCTAGGTAGAATCAAAATGAACGAAGATGAAGTTCTAATAAGCTTTTTCGTTTATGCAAATTTACCCATGTCCTCAGCGAAGTCGTCACATTCACGCTTACCTGTTAGGTTTGTTGCTCAGCTACTGCTGATAGAATAGGTTTTTAATAGTTATGGTGCAGTTGAAGGTTTTTCTTCTTGAATTTCTCTTTTTAAGCAATTTGAAATAAAATAGGGCCAACAGGCCTAAAATTTGCAGAATACCGAACGCTTCTTATTCTAAGTAGACGGCTCGATACGATTGAGACCCATCATTCATGTTCCACCTTTCATTGATTAGATAAAATCATATGTATTTAGCATTTCTATAGTCTATCTGTGGACTACAATTTCGATGTAGAACGGAAAAACATCAGTTCGCTTTTTGGTATTGTAAGATTTACTACAACTAGGCTTAGTTTTATTATGTACACCCAATGCTCGTGATAGCTGTCTTCGCACAGGTTGCCTTCACGTTGTCCTAGTCTAGAGAGCGAAATTAATTCAAGTTGTTGGCTTATAGCTTCATATAGAACAGTTATTATCGTTTAATAAAACGTATTCTCGACTGGCACTCCATCTTCAGCTGCATTTTGAACAAGGATAGTAAGATCTGTCAGCACAAATTTCGCCTGAAAAGAGTTTCCATCATTGCACAACGAGAGTTTCAAACATCCAAAAAGGTAAGTTACAATGGTTATGAACTTTTACTGTAATGTTCCGTATAAGCCGCTCTAAGATGTCAACGTGAGGAGAACATGTTGAATACTTTGAAGATATTTGAAAACTGAAGAAAAATGAAAAGAATTAGATATAGCAAAGGTTAGCTCTTTGAAATCTTTAAAAAGGTTTACATAACGAACCTTTAGATGGCTTTTGACTGGTATCCTAATGCTGAGAAGTTTTAGTAGGAAAATAAAATTGTTATTAATTTTGTTGGTATTTGTATTTCTGAATATTTATAGTATCTGACTTGGTCCATTCGTGGTGAAATACTTACTAGTTTTTTCGTGCGCCGTTTAATTACCGGGACAAATATTTATGTGCGAGTTGTGGAACGCTTTGTAAGCTAGGCCAGGAAATGCCTTGGATAACCTGCACACGTTACGGAGCTCAAACAGCACTCTATCCCGGGATCCAGCTAACTGTGTGCCTCAAGAATAAATAACAAGAGCCCCTGAGGTTTTAAAAACAGTGCTCTAAATACCAGAAAGTTTTGAGATAAGTACCTAATAAGTATTACATTATATACTGTAAAAACCATAGGCTGTTTTTACTTTACCAGGTTCTTCCAGAAAGAAACGGCAAGTACAGGCTACTTTGCTCTATATGAGCGACTCAGGTACTAAATACTATGGCTAAGGGAACAAAGCTACAGTTGTTTGAGTCTCGCTGTATTTGGTCGAAAGGTAAACATTTTTCCTTGGCCGCACTCTACTTCGCTTCAGACCAACATGCCTGAACTTGCATATGACTTGTCAAATGTTTCTGCTTCACTAGTAGATGCTTTGCCTTCTCAATCTGCCGAGAAAGTCCGCCAATCTTAGGAGTCCACTTGATTTTGACGTCCGTTCAAATTTGGCGCGCGTTACCCTCCACTGCCAACCCGTCAATAGGCGGCGCTTCGACACGTCAGGGGCCGTGACCATTAGTGCCGAGCATCGACCGCCGCCCTACCCTACACTTTGAACGTTACAGAAAAACTTTCCGCTGCTGCTTCTTTCTATAGCTGTAGTGGCAGTAGCTTGCCAACCTCATCGTGCCCTTCCTAGCGAAACCAAGGGGAAAGAAAGAAAGCGAATCGAGGGCGTTTTTCGTTGTCTTCGTCGTCGTCATCGTCGCGGGACATCATCAACAAAACGTTGGCGCTGTGCTATTACTGGCGCAGCGGCGCTTTTCGTTGGTCGGCGGTCCTCGGTTCTCGGTTGGTCTCGATCGCTACTCATTTACCGTTCATCCACAAGCATTCGCCTTAGCGTAGAGTGAACTGTGCCGTACTAGCTCCCCTTCGATGGTAAGAGCAACAGTAGCGGCATCACCTGTGCGTCTATGCAGCTGCTGTTTTCATTGCTAGAGCCGCCGCCACTGCCGCCACCGGCTCCCCGATCGCTCTTATCGTTGTTGTGTGTTACGTTACGTTGTGAGTCGTCCGTGCGGCCACATTGTGTTGAGCGCTGTGTCGCATTCGGGGCTGGTTTGTTCGTTGTCACTGGACTATAGCTGCTAATGCTTTGTGCCAAGGTGGAGTGGATCTGCGTGGCGTAAAATCGCATTGAATCGAATCAGCACCAGAAGCGGTAACGATCGTAGTGGTATAGTTGCCTGCTAGTACTCTTTCTGTATGACGTCGCCCATCGTTGTCGTTGGTGCTCCTGCTGAAGCTGGTGTCACTATTATTGCTCAACTCTAGTGAGGCGGCTGTTAGGGTGCTGGCCGCTCCTTCGTCTGGACGAATCACACTAGTGAATGCTACCGGTTGATGCCGAAAATCCGCTTTGCTCCATATCCGTGCTCTTGGTTTATCCTGTTAAAACTGGTGTTGTTCCAAACACACAACGAATTCAACAAGGATCTATCGCGCTGTACGGGAACATTTGGGTGTTGCCTTTTACTACCTTCGTTTGTTTGCTCTCGTTACGACTGTTAGGCAACTTGACTCGAACACTCGCTCGCACCGGATACGCACCACGATGTCAACAAGGGCGTGAGCTCTATAGATTGTCAAATTTCGTCACGACTCAACAGGTGTGCGTCAACTCTACATAGGTACAGTTATTATTTTTCATTATTACTCTTTTGGTTAGTCGTGTTGAAGCTGATAGAAATATTGGGGTATCGCTGCCGTGCGTGAAACTTGTATTGTTTTCCAATGACAATTCAAATTACTACGAAGGGTACTGTTGCGGTTAGACGATGTTGAGTTCGTTTGTAGTATTGAAGTTGCTAACGAGATGTTGTTCACAAAGCATTGCTCGAATATGTGGACGTACCTTTCGATTCTGCTTGTCATTGATGGCGCGGTATTTCTTATGCTTATGACAGCATAAATTCGGCATACGTTATTGTGTACTGTATTGCAGCAATTTCGAGTGTTTGGATTGACGAATCTTCATCAGAATGCTCCAGATGTTCTCCCAATCCAACCTTTCGTGTCCCGTCGTTGAGTAAGAGACACTTTACGTATGATGGGATTCATAGAATCTACAAAGGCGGAAAATATAACGAAGACCCTCAGAGGATGTGAGAACGGAGGACGTTGATGGTTGACCAGTTGAATGTACCACTTCAAGGAAAAAAGTGCGTTTAGTATCAAGCCTGCTGATACAGATAGCTTTCGGCCGCACCATCGCTTTTAGACAGCCGCTTCCTTATCATATATCTTTTGGTCGCACCCGTATATTCATGTTTGTAAGATGTTCCACGCACTCTGCAATAGAGCTCAATATCCAGATCACTGCAAGTGATACGTATAGGTAGTGTAAACAGGGTTAAATGATGCTCGGCTGCTCTGCCCAGCCCAGTCCAGTCCTGCCCAGCTCAGTCCAGCCCAGCGGCGCAACGCTGGCCAGCATTGTTGCTAAATGCATTTCCAAAATACCCTAAGCGGCAGATTATTCCCTAAGGCGGTTTTCTGTGTTCTGTTTAATCAAGCCACATACTACATATCAAGTTTTCATTCATAGATACATTATTTTATTGTTCATATATGAAGTATCCGAACCATTTCAGCTAAGTCTACAGTGTACTAACTACTGTTCAAGTGTTATAGTATCCTTTTGATTTGATTTGCGTTGTGAAGGATAGAAATTTCATAGTTAATCGGGTTAGACAGGCGTAATACTCTGGGCATTACTCGCACGACCCATTCTATAAAAAAATAGAATACTTTGCAAGTGTTATCAATCAACTGCTATAAATAGTAAAATATAACGAGGGTATTATTTCTTATTTGTGTGAGCCTCTTCAGGGTTCGCCAAATGCTCGCTAGTCGCTGCTCTTAACCGGTTCAGACTTAGCGCACACAAACATTTTCTTTCATATACACGCGCGTCGACTTTATTTGGAGAATTTACCGAGTTTTCTAACTTCGGATGGTCGTTGCAATACGTTGATACGATGACTTTCACTCCGTCTCACGATTCGGTCAGATGCGACTGGGAAGTAAAAGTGTAAATAGAGGCTGGCCACGAGCGAAACTTCCTAGGGACGGAAAAATCTTCGGAAAAAAATCAGAAACGTTCGACGCACAAGCAGAGAAATGCTTTGACAGAAAGGAAATCACCTAACAATAACCTAAGTAACATAAATTGCATTCAAATAGTTAAAATTTAATCTTATTGCATTTTTCTATGGGACAATAACCTGCTTCAATTGCCAGCTTTCGATTGCGCAATGATAAATTAACGTTGAAAATAAAGGAGTGAGTTGTCTGTTAAAAGTAATTGTAGTACAGCATTGTGATCTTTGACGATTTGGAAATCCATAGCAAACCGACCTAATTACGTCCCGGCCACATATATATATATATATATATATATATGCATATAGCCATTTTTAGTAACCAAAGGAGGTTTTTACTTATACATAAAAATTCTAGTTCTACAATATGAACTACACAAATGTCCGTCGTTGAACAATCGTTGGATACACAGAAAACGTCGTACATATTTCGATATTGTTTAACTTGGCGGAATGAAGTAGTTTCGGAAATATATCTGAAGTTTTTTTCCTTCATTTTTTTGATAACAGATTAGCATATGGCCGGAAAATGCAGAAGTTATCTGGGGCGGCACGTTTAAGATATTAAGCGGGTGCGTCTGACTCGCGCGAGTTGTTACGTTCGATTTCTGGGTTCAGCAAAGCGTAATAGGAGCATACGATCTATGTATACTTTTGTAAGAAAAAAAATCGCGTTAGAAAGGTTCTTATATGGCCTATTCAAAAATCCACTTTAAGAATTTGCGAAGGCCAAGTGTATAAACAGTAACAGTTTTTACCTACAAAACATAACTAGTATAGATTATGAGAAAATGATAAATTTAGCGCATTGCGCACTAACCGAGAAAGTTCATCTGTTCGAGAAAGATATTCACTGTTTTAATAAATTTTAATCTGACCCAAACAAAACAGCATTTTCCAAACAAAATTTAAGCGAGCAATAATTTTTTATTTTTACTTTGAAACTTTTTACCTTTTTACTTTGAAACAATAATAAAACGTACTAGAATTCGGAGTTTTATCATTATTTGCTAAATATCTATACATTGATTGTCTATGTCATAATGACATCTAGGCAGAATTTATATTATTTAGTAGGCATAATACCTACTAAATAATATAAATTAAAGATCATGGCTATTGGTCATTGAAAACAACTTGTTCGAAACCGAATCCCCAGATTATTCATCTAAAACGTAGAACTTTTCTACTCGAAATAATTTTTTGCACAGATCTATATCCAAAGCATTTGGAGTGCATGTTATTATGTTATTTTTATTATATGAGGTTCTGCGGTAGTGTAGCTTGGCTGCATACACGGATACCTTACATATCCTGATATGTGCCGAGATACCGAGCCGGTATTCGGCTTTGGCTCACTTAACGGCAATTATAATAAAAATTTACATAATTAGAGAGGCAAACATGTGTTTGAATTAGTCTTTTTTTTTGAACTTTATCTGCGCATTTACCATTTCACTCGTGCCTTTTATCTTTTTTTATCTAATTGAAATTCATAATTAGCTTATGTCAACGAAATGTCACGATAACTCCTCTTCACTTGTTCGTCCTGACATACGTTTGATTACCCTCTTGCCGTTCCATGTTTTTAGTGAACAACTGTGCTTGTGTCTTCCAGGGGGCATCAGCCCCATCACCGACTGAGAAGACCCGTTGCAGTTTAGCCATTTGTATCCTACAGTGTATCCTATACACACGTAAGGACGCAGTCCTAACACTTGAGTGGTCACATATGTCTGTTGTCTTTAGCTTTATGGCTCGAAACAAACACGTTTCATAGATGCCACAGGTAGCAATACCTATTCGAGAATATATGTACTGTCAATGGTAATGTTGCCAAATAGTTACCAAGATATTCATTTTTAGCTGAACCTTGGTGCCTTTTTTTCTGTACATTTGCGTATCCGTTCGATGATTTTGCTACTTTGTAATTAAAAATGTCTCCTTAGACGCATTCGAACAAGTTTTACATGCTGTCAATCTGATTTTTGCTAATAATTGACACGGTTTCTGAAATTCGTTCAAACACTCACTAGATTTATTCGTGGTTTCATTGAAAACTTACCAGGTCATCGTAGACTTGCCTCTATCGCTGGAGTCTTTAATGTGAAGCCCATGAGTGTTTGTGACCTTAACGAGGCTGTCGTAGGGGTAGAGTCTCCGTATGTCGGCAGTTAAGCGTACGTCACAGGTTCTTCGGCCATCTTGGAAACAAAAGGAGCGCCCATATTATTAACACATCAAGGTCAAACGTGATCAGTGTTACGTCAAGTTCCTCCTATTGCATTTATTTTATTAAAGGGTCAAAAATTGTCTAAGGCCGGATTCAAATGTGGACCTTTCACATATCTTTTTCATAAGCCATCATTTTACCACCAGCAATCACCATAGTATCATATTAGTGAGCTGATATGTTTTTAGCCAAAGTAATAATGTAAGATTAGTAATCATTATCTCGTGTACTAATTAGCCAATCTATTGTTTGTAAGGCGGTACCAACTTGCGAAACTGTATGTTTTGAGATTTATGTCCGATATTGCCCTTCGGCACTCCATCAGACGGCTGACTCCCAGCACGAAACAAGATGTGTTTATGACTCTGCGTGTCTGTCTCAACATTTTCTGTCACTTTGTTACAACAAAGCTTTCCAACAACAACAATAGAAGTCACCTTCTACCTATTGCTTCATTGTCGTCTAGCAAATTTCGAGCAGTTGGTGTTGTCGTCGCGCGTTTTAGCCCATCCGACTGCCGTCTTTTTAATACATTCTGTCCGCTATTCCATCGGTCTGGATGATTTTATTATTATGATTATGGCATGAATCAGTTAAATCGTTTGCTCAGAAGCGGGGTGCGATTTAAAAAGGAACAGGACTGAGAATTTTTTTCTACATCTCGCTAATCGTCCTATTACTTATAATGACAATGATCTTGCTGCTGCTAGCTGTCACGGACTTTACCATAGTATTGTGCATTTCTCCGCATTTCTTCAGAGACTAACCCATAAAAACATGTATACATCGTATTTAACGAGCTAGTTTATGCCGTTCCTGCGGAAATAGCAGCTAAGGTCGAATAATGAACGCACTTTTCTGGTCTCTTTTAAACGGTCAGTTGTTGATGATCAACCGTTCTATAGTAGTTTTGTTCGTTCATTAAATCCCGTTGTGTTGGATGCGTACGTTGCTGTGTGACTGACCTCTGCCAAGATACTCATGCTTTTCTCTATTGCTGCTAGTACCAGTACTACCATAGTGAAATCATAACCCCATGCTCGATGCTGATTACGGGGGTATCGGTTGTTACGATTCTGGTATAATAGACACCAGGATTCAAATGATTCGTATCGACTAGGCGCATTAAACACAACTGGTACTTACGCAACAGTAATAATACTGATTATATTTACAGCGTCTAGGCTTTGGTCGACCTCCAACTACAGTGATTTGTCCGTTTCTGTTGCCGTCAGTGTCGCCTGCTTCTCGTAGTTCTGGCGTTGCCGTTTTCTGCTGGCGGTGCGAGTTCCGCTGCTTATGCTCAGCAGCCTGTCGTTTAAAAATTCCCTGCGTCTGTTTGTTCATACGTCAATCGGTCGGTCGGTCGATCCGACGGGAGCAATGCCCTTACGCTATCACCTCTTTCCCTGTTATCTCTGTAGGGTCTGCTGCAAACCCAGCCAATCCATCGTGCGAAGAAGGCTATTTATTGGGAATAGCACATTAAGTCCCCTCTCTGGGCTGATCACGGTGTTTCAACCGCGTGACATTTTCTCATTCCAGCATTGGGCTCCTCGTTGGCGTGGTATTCTATATTAGCATGGTATAGCCAGCCTACAAGCTGGCTAAAATAATACATGGCCATAATTACTGCTCGATGATAGCACGGAAATAGTAATGTAATTTTGGTGGTGCGTAATTATGATCGAGCGTGAGCTTCTCTGCTGATTCTGCGATCAATACTTGTTTTAGCGCGGTCACTACATACTAGGCTTTTAAGTTTTACTGACGTTGATACGTTGTAACTCTGATTACGTAGGCAGAATAGTGTTATAGGACCTACAGTGAGATACACTGTCAGTGGTAAGCATGAGAAATACCTGATTCGAAGCGGCTGGTTGCGCCGCTCCCACTTCTGCTAGACTTTTCATCTGGTAATTGATCGTTATCGAATTTGTAGTATCGATTACGTCATGACGATGCTAATGGAAATTAAAGCTTTTTTTTATTTGAGTGTCATCGATTCGTGGTACAGCCCCTCACATTTAATCTATTACGAATTATAATTAAGCTGCGTAGGTGAATATCGTAGAAACTGTATGGTAATGTTACTCTGTATTTTTGCACAGCTTAACTGCCTGTCAAATGATCTGAAATGAAACTTTTATCTAAATCAATTGTAGAAAACGGTTGCACATTGGTGTGTGTATATACGCTGCTCCCCGATAGAAGTACGCCATCTGATACCACGGAAGACTTTGCATTCATATAGCCTAGAGGAAATTTATCACAATATCAACGCAGTAATTCTGATAGTACTAACTGCCGTTGCATTTACTCTGGATGTATAATCTGATGGCTCATATTGACGGAAGGGGATTGATCCCCGTGGACAGTCTATTGGGACGATATTTGGCGATCTGAAATAACCCTCAATATCGGCACATACAATCCCGATCCGCACTACTGATATTCAAGGCTTGCAACTGGCACTCGAACTGGTCACTGATCACTTCATCAAACCGTCGGAAAATAAAGGAGAAGTGCAAACGTACCCATGCTCATCAGCTGGGAGACTCTCATGAGCTGCTAGAACAATGAACGTTACATCAACTAACCTATCATTCGAAACCTGGCAAATTTGGAAATGGCGATGAAGCGAACATGTACTACTATCTGATGAAGATCATATGAGCACATCTGTAGAAATATTCAATTAAGCTTTATTTAAAATTCAACCGAATTTCACTAATCCATCTGTTAGATGCTCACAGACTCCGATTTATGCCTGTTGCAATCCATTACTGACGATAAAATTAAGCGAACGTTGAATCGATAAGGTAACTAGCAAAACAACTCCGAATACATAGAAGTTATATAGACATTATCAAAGCAACTAAACGTAGAAAAAATACGCGGGGCATCAAACGATCGTTATATGGCCGTATGGTTAATGGGTCTGCGTCATCTTGTCTTCGCGTTCTGTTGTACAGCGACTGTTCAAAAGTTCAGCTCTAAGTAGAGTTTGCAGACTATTTCTCAAGTCAACCCTTTTGATCCTCGATTTAACATCATCAGATGGGCACAACCCTAATACTTAAAACGCTGGAACAACTGGCAAAGCATCTCAGTGACACATGGGAAATTTGTCATTCGACAATTCTTCCACAAAGACAAGTGTTCGTTAACATGAAGCTTTAGCTCGTCGATCAACACGTATCAAATACGTCTGCAGATCTTGGTTCGGGATAACGGTCCACTGTCGCCGGTATATTCGTACTATGGATCGGTATTGTCTTGTCTCCGCGCTTTGTCATGTATTTATCACCCAAACGTAAAAATTTTATGTACGATTGTGTCAACTGTTCGTACAGGCTGAAGCTGTCCCTGATGAGCAACGATGTTACTGTCATTTTTGACTATGTCTCTACTAGCGTGTTTCACTACCAAATACGTGAAAAACTACGGTTCGATAAAAATAGTTACGTATAAACGTCATTGTGTTGTAATTAGCACTAGCACCGGCGACAGTTACGGCAATGATCGCAGCAGCAATTGGAGAAGAAGTAATTAGAAATCACCAGGGTGGTCCTTTAAGTTTTATCCTGGGGACACAGATATGGGTCCTGGACACAGCTGCCGTAGTTTCTGACCATGGTATCCGTTGCAGGTCATGGTTGAATCTTTATTAGGTGCCATCCAGCAGGGCACGAGTGGTTAGAGCGATATGTTAAATCCAGTATGCGAGAGTATCCACGAGAGGGGTATTGCTTATACGTTCATTCAGACTGATTCTTAATCTTATCCGGATGTGAGTAACAAGGCAACCTAAGGTTTCCCCCCAAGGTTTCCCATAGATATCAGATTATGAGCGCAACCTGGTTCCAGGCAATCATACAGGACGTAACTTTTACTAAAAGTACGTCACCGTTTTTACTTGGCAGTACCCGTGAGCGATTCATGAGTGAATTTCGAATCATCATCCAAATCCAGTCTATGTGTATATGCCAAAAGATTCTTAAGCGTTAAACGCCGGGCCAATAAAACCGTCACACAATACATGTAATTTCTACAGGTCAACTCTAAGCTTGTGGAGCAATTTTTAATTAAAAACATTTCTCCTCAGTTATTTCGTACTGGATGGAGTCATCGTACTGGATGATTTGTAAAGCCGATACAAGCATGTATTGAATTTCTCTACGAAAAGGTCAATTAATGGCTTGTGAATACCAGCTAATTATCTTTTGTACGGGAAAAATTCAGCTAGATAATAGGTTGGCTTCCAGTAACGAAGACAACGCTGCCAAGCTATAAAGCTTCAAATAAACTATATATAAGTAAATCTTGTTCTACTCACTGAAAAGTTGATGTTTATCGTCTGGACTCCCATGGTCCGTGATATTTTCCGTTCTCATGAGGTTTCATATTTACGCCGAAGACAAGTGAGACGACAAAAAATCCAAAACGACGAACGAGAAATAACTAACGTTGTGACGCCAAACTAATCATCGACCTATCGGAAAAAGCAGCCGAACTGATCCTTCTTTGTGTAGTTTCATTTGCCGTTGACGGCATTAGGGTCCTAGACGCCAAAGACAAGAACACTCGCCACTCATTGTTAAGACTAGTTCACTTTCCAAAGCAAAAACGTTTCAATGCAGGCAGGCAGGCAGGCAGGCAGACAGCAATATGCTTAATTTCTCCAACAACCGTATGGAAAACAACAATAGTACATGAAAAAATTTCATCAAAACAGGCAAGCATTTATTTTACGAAAATTATAATCAGTATATTATTGCCAATTCATAATGACTGCCGTATGAATAATATGATGATTTGCGTGTTAAATTACTTTTGAATAGTTTCAACTTTTTCCGCTAGCTTGCAATCGTATAGCGCGTTACCGGAAGTCATGGCCTATGTCGCGTAGCAAAACCGGAATGGTGTATTCTTCTATGTTCCATTCCTTTGTCAAGGTTTCGTTCCATCTTCCTTTTACTCCTGATCACTGATCAAGTGTCTGACAATACGAAGTAACACAATGGTCGGCTGAGGCTGACATCGACTCCACCTCAGCCATAGCACTCATTGAGCAACATCTCGCAAGTTAATGTTTTGTCCGTTTATCGGATCCGACCACGAATGAGGCATCAAAATGCAATAGAACATGAACATATCTTTACAGTAGCTCCAAGTGCTTTGAGTCCCACTAAAGTTGTCAACTCTCGAAAATCGTTCTTCGTCTTCGTTTGAGAAGAATACTTCGTTATTGTATTTCTTTGAGGAAATCCAGTCAACTTTGATTATGTATAATCTAATTCTCTGGTCTTTTTCATCTATTCGCTTCCGACGTCATGCATGGAACTAGTCGCTGCTTTAATTAAGTGCAGGGCTCAGACTACCTTCTTTAGAACTTCACTCTTTCACATTGGCGTGTCAGTGTGCTTTGCTTCTTCGTTCTAGCGTGGGTGCCCCACAGCCCACCAAAGCCGAGCAGTCGGAGAACGACAAGCTAACTCGTCAGTGATGGCAATAATA